GACACGGCGTTGTCGCTTCACCTACATAGCACTCATTAACAATGATTGACCATTTCGGCAGATTTCTTATGTCTAACATAATGTTTATTGGTATATAGTTTCCATATTAGAAAAATGTCAATGTATTGGAGGAATTCCATGTTTATGTGATGCGTGTCTAAAGACTGAAACCGACCTTTTGATCCGGCACAAGTTGAATTTTGCCATTCTGTTTATACTCAATAAATAAGTAATATAATTAATAAATAATACATTTCGCTTCGAATAGAGAGAATGTTAAATGTATTTAAATGTCACTTACAGTGCGATCAATCTAAAGACAAGATGTGAGATTTCTTGAAGTTTAGTTTGAAAATATATTTTTCTTTCTCATTCCCTCTCTCTATCTGTCTCTCCAAATATTTCTCTATCTCTATTTCTTTGTCTTTCTTTCTTTCTCTCTCTCTCTCTAACTATTTTTTTCTCTCACATTCTCTCCCTTCCTCCCACACTCCCTCTATTTATTTTTCTTACACACGTGCCATACTCATCTCTCCTATTTCTCTCTTATTTTTTCTTTCTTTATTTTTCTCTCTTCTGAGCGTATCTCATCTCTCCCTCCCTCCCTCCCTCTCTCTCTCTCTCTCTCTCTCTCTCTCTCTCTCTCTTTCTCTTTCTTTCTTTCANACACACACACACACACACACACACACACACACACACACGCACGCACGCACGCACGCACGCACGCACGCACGCACGCACGCACGCACGCACGCTTAACAAAGCTAAAATTGGCAAATCGTGATGATCGGGGACGACCAAAGTACAGGTTGTTTCTTTTTCAAACGTTCTAAACTAAAATAAATAGTTAACCGAAGATCCCAAAAATTGGGCCGTGAAATTTACTTAATTTTAAAGAAAAATGTTTACTTAAAAATGTTTTAGTATATTTGATACGGAAGAACCTTTTGTCCGTTTGATCCCGCTTTTGCCACAGGAAGTATTCTGTTTGTGTTATCACTTATCAATTACTACCATTGATTTCCATTAGGACTTTAATGGCACAATTTGGTCGTGCTAATACTTTTTAGGAGTCATGCGAAACTATCTATTTACTTGCATTTTCTGAAGTGACACGGCCATTTTGAACAATTTTTCGATATGGTAATTCATTTGACTCATAAAATAATAATAATAAAGGGGGTTAATTTAATTCATAAATTACCAGTCGGACCAAGATGAAAAATAGAATGTTTCGTTCCCTTTTGCCTGTGACAAATCGATTTCAACCAAGAAATGGTAATAATAAATGATGTATACAGCTTGTAGAATATGTTCGTTTGCAAGTTAAATCGTTGCAGGAGAGATTTAAATTTTTAAGAATAGATTGTTCCTAGGCCATGAGATTTGTTATTATGCCTTGCATTGGCATAACGAATACGAGACATTTCTTTTCTTTTTTTTTTCAAAAACAACAACGGAATAATATACTGTTCAAACAACAAATCGAGCTAAAATATAAATTATGAGATTGTACTGCTGGGGTTTGAAGGGTGATGAACAAGATGAACAACGAGGGTCAAGGTTATAAGCAGGGTGAGGACAATATGATTCGCATTTGACGCAAATCCTCGACCAAACGAAAATGGCGAAATGTGTCTGCCAGACCAAATCAATGATGAAAATAATGAAGATGGGTTTATTTTATGGGCGTCAGCCTGCCTTTCCTTCAAGCTTTCATCGAGCTTCAAATCGAGGTAAAATAAAAAATGTGAGATTTTTGTATTGAGATTTGAAGGGGGATGAATAACGAGAGTCGAGGTTATAATAATTTAATTACTCAGCAGGGTCAGGAAAAGTTAATTCGCTTTTTACACAAATTAACGAAGAAAATGCTTTCTTCAATTTATCGAGAATTACAATTAATTAAGGTTTTTAGTCGAGGTAAAAAAAGTCAATGGCACGAGCGGGATTCGAACCCACGATCTTCGGCTTGATACGCCGCTACTCTACCACTTGAGCTAACGTGACCTCGATCCACATCAACTTCCTATCTCAACCGCACCTTTTGAATTTTCCCTCCTTTTTGCCATTTTTCAAATGTCGTGTAATCGGATTGGATTCTCGGCGACAAATGAAATGGCCACGGAGAGCTATAGTGAAGTATACTTAATTCATTAAATTCACTAATTTCGTGGTCCGCTTGACCAATTAATATATTATAATTAATTAAAGTTTTTAGTCGAGATAAAAATGGCAAAAAGGAGGGAAAACTCATAAGGTGGGGTTGAGATAGGAAGTTAATGTCCGAGCGGATTGAGGTCACGATAGCTCAAGTGGTAGAGCGGCGGCGTATCAAGCCGAAGATCGTGGGTTCGAATCCCGCTCGTGCCAATGACTTTTTTATCTCGACTAAAACCTTAATTAATTGTAATATATTAATTGGTCAAGCGGACCACGAAATTAGTGAATTTATCGAGAATTATAAATTTGGGTTTATCTTAAGGGCATTAGTCTTGCCTTGCCTCCATGCTGTTTCAATCGGGGTAAAATAAAAATTGTGTGATTTTGGTGTTGGGGTTTGAAAGGTGCAGTGTCAAGGGTATAAGCAGGGTGAGGTCATCTGGCCATATTAAATCGGTAGTATGATGAAGAACAAGGGTTTATGTAATGTGCCTTTTAAAAGCCATTGTGTCCTCTGTTCTGTATTTATCGTACACCATTCAGTCCTAATTCTTCGAGGAATTTCATTACAACTGTATTATTTATTCCATGGATGTGTTGTAGGTCTGAAAACCCTTTCACCCGGGGAAAATGGCAGCACCAGAATCACCAAGTCTGACGTAGTGCCTGCTGACCTTCCAAGGTCAGCGAGTCTTCCATCTTCCAATAATGCACAGATTTATTTTTTTTAAATCATGCGAGATTGGATTGCACGGTTATTCCCATTGCTTCCTCGTTTTCTTGGATGCTCTAGGATACGGTTGGACCTTTTCGTTCCCCCAACTATGCCATGGGAAAATACCAAACTAATGTAGAAACTGGTGAAAACGGTTTTTTGGTTTCTCCAAAGCCTCGACTTACAATTAGCTAAATGATCACTAATGTAGCAAGATTACATCAACTCTTCGACAAAAGTTGTTCCACGGGTAACCTTCGGCTGTTGCAAATTTATTGTTGCATTTTATTCATGTTTTACACTTTTTTAACTTTCATTGCATATAAGCTTTGTCAATATTGTCTGGGCGTCTGGGTCGAAACTTTGTTTGTTAGTCGATACGCGAACTTGTCGTAATAGGTTGTGCTTTTCATAGGCTTTGTCTCAGAACGAATCGATCTGCTCGAAAACCAGTCGAGAATCTGGTAGAGAAATCTCCTTACGACGATGACCTCTAACACGTAATCGTCTCGTGTTACATAACCATGCCCAGGAGAGGTGAAAGAAGAGTCGGGCCGATAACGAGATCGGAAGGAGGTCGACAATTCGACTTTCGGACCGAATCGAAAATAAGTGAATTTTAATGTCGCGGAGGTAATTGCCAGGGCGGAAGACCTTTCTCGTGTTGACTCCTACTTGACTGCTTCTTCGTCGGATGTTAGTGCGAACAATGAAACCGTCGACTATAGGAATAAAAGTAAAAAGATTCTCAAAGAACACAGAGAACAGTTATTAAACAGATTTTTTTATTCGGCCACGGCTGTCGGTAAGCAAATGACGCCGTGAGCGGCAATTTTCCGGGTTATTTGATTACTTACGGCACGCTTCCGTTGACCATTAGATTCTCCTTTTACTCTTTTATCACTTCCACATTTATCCGAATTTTCAAATTTACACCCGTGTATACGCCAATATTTCAAAATCGCCGATTGCCGGGGAAAAAATGGCCTTCGGGTTAGACGAGAATTCTTCATTTGACACTTTGGCCTGCGACTTGATGGATTTTCTTTCATCGGGTTCCGATCGTTAGTCGTATTCTTTGGGTCCGCCCGTTCCCGTTGCTGTCCTTGGTCGGGTGTGTTCCAGCTTCACGTATCTCACGGAGCAAGAGCCAAGTGTATGATTATGATCGAGCTGATAAATTAAAAAGCTCACCGGTTATTATTTGTAAATGGAAAAAATATACAGTATATAAAAGGTTTGTGTCTAAGAAATTTGACAAGATTTCGACCTCAATCGCAATTTTTGTAAATACAACTAAAACAGTTATTAATCCTTTAATCACTCGTAGTTTTTGTTAAAAAAAAAATAAAAATAAAAAGATCGCGGAAGTCACAGGTGGCGAGGGGGTAGTTGTGGTGCGTATGGCATGGCTGAACATTTAACGGTCTCGTTCATCTTTCTTTTTCCAAAAATTAAAAACTATTTAAACAAAATAAATAAATTATAAATAAACGGCCTGTTTTCAAAACAAAACTGATTGTTTGCACTATTACTACTACTATAAGCATGTTAAAATGAAAAAAAAATCGAAAACTAAGAATGTTTCTTGAACAGAATAATCAAAAATAACATTTCATAAAAGAAAAAAGCTTTTATAAATAAATGCTTTCGTATAAGGCAAAGTACGAAAGAGCAAAAGTTTGCAACAGTTTGTTTTTGTTTTGATATGATACAAAAAGGCAAACATATATTGGTTTATATAGTTATGGTTTTATTTTTTTTTGTTTAATATTAATACCGTCAAAATTGAACTTTTTATTACAGAAATACTAACAAAAAGTTAATCCAAGAAAAAGTAAAATAATGTCTTGGGTGGGAAAACGTTTCAAACACTTAGACCCGTCGCATAAGAATAAAATATTAAAAATTGATACAAATTTTCTTTTGATATGTATAAGCTGAAATTATTTTTAAAAAAACGACAACAGTATTTCAAGTTGTAAAAACGATTTTAAATTTAGCACAAAAACAAACAATCTCCCTGTTGACAGTTGGCGTAACACAACAAAAAGGAAAAACTGGGACGAATCGAGCCGCCGGTTGGATAAAAACGTTTTAAAAAAATTTGAAAATTTACCAGAAAAATTTCGTTATCCTTAAATGAATCGGAGGTCGGAGCGGCGTGAAACAACTCAGTCGAAGGCCCGTAGGTGACTGAGGTCTGAGCCGGTCGACGTCGAGGAGTGGAGAAGCAGAGAAAGCAGACATGACGTCATGTCAGCCTAGGCATCCCTACAGTCAGTAGTTAACGTAAACGGGATCCAGGATGAAAAACCCCCGGAGAAAATTATTTCAAATTGTACATATATAATTTTTCCAAGGATGATCGAATAAATTTATGGTCTCCAGGAGAGGGGGAGGCTACTCAAGACATTTCGGAATAACATGCATTATGCAACTACAGCAATAGAGGATGGATGAGTATGGAAAGCATTTATCAGCATAAAAACCACAAAATTCGGCTAATTATCAACTAAGTTTTTAATTTTTTTTTATCAAGAAACAAAGTTTTTGCCCGCTGAAAAACCACTGAATACAAATTTTGATATATGTTTTTTTTTAAAGAATTATTTTTTTAAATAAAAGGTTAATTTATTTTTAAAAACTTCAAAACCCTCGTGCTTCTTCCCATTGACCCTTTTTAACTTCAAATTAACCTTTATTAATTTCAGATTAACCTTTCTTAAGACAATTTAAAAAACTTATCAGATGGTATGTCCTGTTTATTCGCGTTTTTTTCATTCATCTGTTTTTCGTTATAATTTATTTTTTAATATAAAATAATTGGGCCTTTCGAAGACTGTGTGAAGTTTAATTACAACTAAAATTAAAAGTCATCTAACATTAAATACTAGCCTCTGATTGAAATATAGCTTTTTGCCGTCAAGCTAACCCTTTTTAACTCAAATTAAATCCTTTTAATTTCCCATAGACTCTTTTTAACATGAAATTATCCCTTTTTGACTTCAAATTAACCTTTCTTTTTTCAACTTAAACCTTTTTTAAAGTCGAATAAACCCTATTTTTTCTTATAATGAATATTTTCTGAGTTAAAATTAAACTTTTTAATTTCGAATTAACCTTTTTTTATTTCAAATTAACCTTCTTAACTTCAAATTAACCCATTCTGGGTTAAAATTAATAAATATTAAATCAAGCGATCCTTATATTGTAAAATTGAATTTTATGAAAATACCTAAAAATAATTGCTTTCTTAAAAACTACATGAAAATAAATTACAATTAAAATTCAGATTATATAAAGTTAAATGTAAAAACAAATGGTTCTTCTAATTATTCGAGATTTTTTAAAATGCAGTAATTTTAAAAAGTAATTTACTCAATATTTCGTACGATCTCCTACATTTTTTTAATGCTTTAATGAAAGGCTTAATTTGAAAAAAAAAAATACTGAAGAACGAAATATCGGGTTTTTTTTCATACTTCGTATCTCCTGAAGAAAGCTTTTCAAACCGACGACGGACAGTCCTTTAATTAGAGCTCCCTTCACCAAAAACTTGAATAATGGCCAAGTAGAAATCACAAACTAAGGTAAAAGTTTAAAATGTGAATGTCTAATGGAAATTGTTCTTAAATAGGGAATTAAGGATTGTTTATCCTTTTTGTTAATATTTTGCTGGTAAAGGCAACATTTTAATCTTTTTGAAGGTACGTTTTCATCTTAAATAACTCAATTCTTCGACCTCCTTAGACAACCAAACAATCTTTACACTTTCACATGCCCTTACCAATTTTCCATGAGAAAATGTGGCTCGTTTCCTTCAAAACCAAGAGGCCTATCAATTTCAGAGGCGCGCACTATTACTGAACATGCAAATTGAAACAATGCGCGTGCTTCTAACGGCGCTGCGTGTCGCCGCGTTTCTCAAAGTGATTACACGTTGCCGGCCCGATTTCGATTTGTTATCTGCCCGTGGGAACTCAAGCCGATATGAACTCTGCGGGCCGGCTAATCGGCTTAAAAGGATGCTGAAGAAATGCGAAACGGGGCCCTGAAAGGAAATTGGCCGACCCCAAAGCGCCGACCGACGGCCCAATCTTCGTCCTGCTTCCGACCGCAGGAATGGTATCGCATATTCGGTCAATCGAACATCTTCCACGGCTTAATTGTGTCGATTTTTTTGTCAGTCGTAATTCAAGTCTGCCGGCTGATAAAACGATCCGTTTGGTCCGCCTATCATCGCTGTTTTCTCTAGAAATGCGACGGACAAATATGCCAGAACAAGGGCTCCGTAACCGGAAGTGATCTAGCTACAAATTATGAAAATATTGGGGTTTGGTCGTCTACGAGTGGATGAGCCAAATTAACCATTCTTAATTTTAGTTATAATTTTACTTTACGTGGTCTTCGAAGAGCCTAATTATTTTATACTAAAAAAGAAATTATAAGGAAGAAAACAGGAATTTAAAAAAAATAAACAGGAATTTTACTTTACATGTTTGCATTTCATACCATCTTACAAGTTGTTTAATTCTTTTAACAATGGGTTAATCCAAAATTAATAAAGGTTAATTTGAAATTGAAAAGGTTTAATTTGAAGTTAAAAAGTGCTAATTTGAAATTAAAAAAGACAAATTCTAACTTAAAAAGGTTTAATCTGAAGTTAAAAAATGTTAATTTGAAATATATAAAGGATTAATTTGAAGTTGAAAAATGCTAAGTTGGAATTAAAAAGGCTTAATTTGAAGTTAAAAAGTGTTAGATTGACGGCAAAAAGCTATATTTCAAACGAGGTTAGTATTGTATGTATAACTTTTAATTTCAATTGTACTTAATTTTCACGTAGTCTTCGAAGGGCCCAATTATTTTATATTTCAAAAACTTATAACGAAAAAAATAAGAATTAAAAAATGCGCAAAATATCCAGAAATTTTACTGTACATGCATATATTGCATGCTGCTAATCTTGTTAAATGCATTAAAGAAAGTGTTAATTTTAAATTACAAAGGCTTAATTTGTATTTAAAGATAATTTTTAATTTTAAATTTAACTTATTATCGTAGATACACGCGGAGGGCCGGCGATGACCTCAGCTGTTTGTCGGCCTTCCACTTTATATATATATCGTAGATCTTATAAGAACCCAATTATTTTATTTAGTAACAAAAACGTACAGGAATTTTGTTTACATGCTTGTATTTCAAACCATCTCTCGTTTTGTAATTCTTTAAAAAAATTTGTATTTGATTTTTCTAAATTTAAATTGTACTGAATTTTCATATATTCTTCCTGTCTAATTATTTAGAACAATTAAAAAAATCACAAATTTGCAGAAAATTTACTTTACATGCTTATTTTTTACATATTTTATATCACCATCTACTAAGTTCGTTTAAAGGGTTAATTTTAAATTTAAGTTACTTTGAAGCAAACAATAGGTAATTTGAATATTAAAAAAAAGTTAATTTGAAATTGAAAAGGGTTATTTTGAAATTAAAAAGAGTTAATTCAAAATAAAAAAGGTTAATTTGAAGTTAAAAAGGCTTAATTTGAACTTAAAACATGCTAATTTGAAGTTGAAAACAGTTAATTTTAAATTAAAACGGGTTAGGCGGAAGTTAAAAAGGGTTAAATTTTTATTAAAATGAACTCATTTGAAATTAAAAAATATTAATTTAAAGTAAAAAAGATGGTAATTTGAAGTAAGAAAATGTAACTTTGAAATTAAAAAGGGCTAATTTGAAGTAAAAAATGCTAATTTGAAGTAAGAAAAAGTAACTTTGAATGTAAAATAGGTTAATTTGAAGTACAAAACGCTAATTTGAAGTAAGAAAAAATAACTTTGAAATTAAAAAGGGTTAATTTCAAGTACAAAAATTCTAATTTGAAGTAAGAAAAGGTAACTTTGAAATTAAAATGGGTTAATTTGAAGTTTAAAAAAATGATAATTTGAAGTAAGCAAAGGTAACTTTGAATGTAAAATGGGTTAATTTTAAGTAAAAAATGCTAATATGAAGTAAGAAAAAGTAACTTTGAAATTAAAAAGGGTTAATTTGAAGTTTAAAAAATGCTAATTTGAAGTAAGAAAAAGTAACTTTGAAATTAAAAAGGGTTAATTTGGAGTAAAAAATGCAAATTTGAAGTAAGAAAAGGAAACGTTGAAATTAAAAAGGGTTAATTTGAAGTTTAAAAAAATGCTAATTTGAAGTAAGAAAAGGTAACTTTGAAATTAAAATGGGTTAATTTGAAGTATAAAACGCTAATTTGAAGTAAGAAAAAGTAACTTTGAAATTAAAAAGGGTTAATTTGAAGTAAAAAATGCTAATTTGAATTAAGAAAAGGAAACGTTGAAATTAAAAAGGGTTATTTGAAGTTTAAAAAAATGCTAATTTGAAGTAAGAAAAGGTAACTTTGAAATAAAAAGTGTCAAGGGAGGGGAAAGTTATATTTCAAAGAGAAGTAGAAATTTGAAATTTAATGTAACTTTTTATTTTAGCTGTAATTAAGTTTCACTTGGTCCAACAAAAAGCCCGATTATTTTATGATTAAACATCTATAACGAAGTAAAGAACAATGTAAAAAAATCGCAAATATCCAAGAAATTTACTTTACATGCTTATATTTCATACCAACTTCTAAGCTTCTTTATTGAATTAATAATAGGTTAATTTGAAAACGAAAAAGCGTTAATTTCAAATTAAAAAGCGCTAATTTGTAGTTAAAAAGGATTAGTTTTAAATTAAAACTGATTAATTTGAGTTGAAATGTTTAGGTAAGGGTTAATTTGAAGTTTGATGGAAAAAAAGCTGTACAATTACGGTCTTGTAGTATTCCTCTGGCCAGTTTGTCTGCTTTTTCGTATATTTCACCTAGAATTCCTTCAAGATACTGCCAGGTGGTTGTGTTTGCCCACATTTTGGATGCATTCACTGCTAATTGAAGGTGTGCATTTTTCACGTGCTAGTCGCTTTTATGCTTGATTAACTGATATTTTGAAGATTTGCTTTTGTCAGCATAACCGCTTATAACATTTTCTAAGACATTTAAGCGTGAATGACCGTGATGCCCTTCCCCAATGATTCATCACATTTTACGCAATCCGGTTATGATCACGGTCCTAAAAATCTTCGAAGTTATCAAAGTATTCTGTTATGTGTTGTCTTTTAAGTTTTCAGTGGGGATTCAACATCGGTCTGCT